TATTTTTAAATTAACCCAGTGCGGTGAAAAAGTTTGGCGGAAATTGATAGTGACATAAAATTATACTAAAATAATTAAATAAACTGGGACGGTTGGTTAAGCTTCTACCTGTATGATTGATTCACACTATGATTCTATATGCGCTTGTAGTTTTCTGTAGACAACTTTGAAGATTTATGTGTTAATTTAAAAAAATTAAATTTAAGTCTCATATAAATTTTGGAATAACCTATCTCTCTTCAATTTCAGCGCTCTTCCAGTTCATCACGATTTCTCCCGACATATGCACCACAACTGCCAACACGCAAGGAATTTGTTACTCGGCCGCCGACTGCACCAACTTGCAGGGCACCGCAAGCGGCACCTGCGCGGCGGGCTTCGGAGTTTGCTGCACGTGTGAGTAACCATTACCCTGAAATATTTTTAAGATAGCCAATAATTATAAGTACGACGTAAATTTCATAACAAATAGCTCAAATGCTAAACTAGTGCATGCTACTTAGTGAGGGTATGGATATTAGATTTGATAAAACGGTAAAATAATCAATACTCAAAAAGCGCTGCTGTAAGATGAAGCTGTTTTATAACCATATTATTATTCCAGAAATGCAGTAATAAGATTTGAAAATTTTTTAAGGTTATTATCTTGTTTTCAATTTATGATGCATTAGTCTCAATAGGTAGATTGTGACTAGCGATCTTGCCAGTAATTGTCCGTGTTTCGCGACTAAAAATAAAGGAATCAGGTGATTGAGAAGTTGAAATTGATATGCATTCAAATTAGGAAACTTAAAAAGTTGCTGCTCGTATGTTGAAATAGTCACAAAGTCCATTAGTATTTTATGATTTAATTCTTCAGAATCAAAAAATTTATTTACAATTGAACTTTGCAGTTACGCGCAATTGTGAGTCGTCCACGAACGTCAACGGAACGCTATTCCAGAATCCAGAATATCCATCGGCTACAACCACTGCTCCTGGTTCTTGCAAACTGACAGTTGTTCCTGTCAATGAAAATATCTGCCAGATTCGTTTAGACTTGATGGAATTCACTCTAGCTCAACCCGATGAGAACGGGGTTTGTGCCGACGACTTCCTGCAAGTGACTGGGGGAACGACAACTATCCCAGCGATTTGTGGACAAAATAATTTACAGCATAGTGAGTGGAATGCTTTTGCCAAGTTAAATTCATTTTAAATACCTTTGCTTGAATTCATACTGGTGTAATTTGCCCGGAAATTTGTCTCTTAATTTAAATAATAAATTTATAACACTATTTGAATTCGTAGTGTACGTCGAAGTGAGCCCTGGATCTGGGAGCGTCTCGATCAACGTTGACACCTTTACAGCGGGAGCCAAGTGGAACATCTCCGTCACACAAATAGAATGTAGTTCGCCGTACCGAGGTGAGTGTAACCCTCATCCAATTCAATGGTGCATGAATAAGTCAATTTTTCAAAAAAAGTATAAATGAGTGATGAATTTTGATGTTGCTCCAGTGATTACCCATTCAAAATTGGTGTCTTGTTTTCATGATTGAAATAAAAAAAAATATATCTCTGAGACAGCATTATAATGCTTAGTATTGATTTTCACTTGTTTTCGTATCAATTTTTATTTCACTCGACAGCCCCGGCGGGCTGCCTCCAGTACTTCACTAACACACATGGAACCATCAAAAGCTTCAACTACGACGCCACGACCTTCACCTCGCCCACCACTCCACCCCCGGGTATCAAGTTGAATCAAATAGTTCATTCAAGCGACTGTTAGAATGTTTGAAGATTTATATTGTAGTCAGAAATTCGAGATTGTTACTCGATTTTTGAGTTAGTTGAGGGTACCAGTACATAAATAAGTAAATTACCAAGTCAAATATCAAACCGCTGCTTTTATTGACGGATGCACATAATTCATGCCACATGAATTATAATTTTCCAAGAAAATTCATACATTAAATCAAAGAAAATAAAGTCGGCCATTTATCCCAGTGAGGAAGGTTTAAATATTCATAGTCACAATACTACCTTCATCTCAAATAAAACTAAAATAATTCATAATTACACTCTGCATCGTATTTAATGTAGGAAATTGAGTATAAATGTATCATAAATTTGATTAACACAAGTTTTTAATTCAGCCACCACACCAACCACGCAGCTGGCCAGCCAGGTATACGGCGTCTGCATCAAGTCGCAGTCAGGCTACTGCAGCGTCGCCTACACGAAAACTTCTGCGACGCCCAATGACTACACCTTCTCCTTGAGTGATGATCCGGGTCCACTGCCTGTAGGCAAGTAATATTAGGCGAAAAGTATGCATTGAGAATAGAAATGATTCACGAAAGACGTCGCCATATTTATTAGATCAGATTTCATCCCATTTCCCGGATTTGAATGAATATATTCGTATCCACTAGTTGTGATGCTTTTTAATGCAATCTTAAAATATGTGCTTGCCTACAAGAAAAGGTTACTTATATCAAGTGTATAATTTATATTGTATCTATATGCACAGCACTGATCATTAACGCTAAAACTCTTGATTTTCAATCTGTAGGAGCAATCGGATCAATTGGCAGTACAGACTGCACAACGGATTACTTGATGATTCCTATGGGGATCATAACTAACGTCCCAGCCTACCCCGCCACCTCCGCTGATCGTTACTGCGGCATAAACTTCCCAAGTAAAGTTGAAAGTAAGTAGGAATTTGTACGGGCGGAACTAGCGAAAAATTGGACCTCTGTTTGATATAGTAGAGAGAGTGAGGATATTCCCAGCATAGAGTAAAAATTAAATTCGACTTTTCAAATTATTTCTGGAGACGAGTATAGAAAATCATGTTTCGTGAAAAACATTTTGATATACTGGGTGATTAACGGAAACTACCTGATGAAAGCTCAATAAGAACAGAACTAGTAAAAATATCTTTATAAAAAAACTAGTAAGATATCCTTAGAAAATAACTAGTAAAGACTAGTTATTTTCTTAGTACAAGAGACTAGTTATAACTAGACGCTGATCGTTTCTTCGGGTGAGACTTTCCCAGTAAAGTAGAATGTGAGTAGAAATTCATACTGTACAAGCGCCGAGAAAGTCAGTTTTCAAATGAGAGGCTACTCTCTTTTAACTAAATCACGCCAGTTATTTAGATAAGTGAAACGATATATTCACGTATTGGCCGGTCATCCAGAGTTTAATGGCGGTTGAATAGGTTAACTTCTTTGCAAGACAAAATAGTCAGACAAATTCTTCGTTTCCTATGCTTAATTTTACGAAATTATGCAAATTTATTGTGTATTAAACTTGGTTTATGATCTGCATCTAGTGATAAGATTAGTGAAAATCTAGAGTGCTGGAAAACATGTATAAGACGAGATATTCCAATACGCATTTAATCGTATTCAACCCCTAACAGCCTCCATTCAGCCGTTTGCACTCTACGTGGTCACCGACGATACAGAAACCAACTATGCAGATCCAGCACTCAACGATGGCCCCAACGTGGGCTTTTCCATAGACTACCGAATGAAGGCTTGCTAACTTCCCATTTTTCATTGTTCTAATGTTATCGTAGTTGTTGCTAATGAAATTTTGTGTCGCATAGGTTGTGCCGCGCATGGAAGTTATACCGCCATACATCAGCTCATAGCTTTGCTGTCGGGTTTGTTGGATTGTAGTTTTCCATATGTACTGTAAAATAAGGTTGTATCACTGTGCGGTTTGTGACCCCGACAAATTTATTGTTGTTTCAACCATTCATTTATTAAATTTGGCGTTAACGCATTATAATCGTTGTAATGACGGTTTTGCTTCAGATTTTGGGGTTCATGGATTTATACAAGGATTCATGGTTGGAAAATATATTTCTTGTCAGTGTTTTATTTTATAACTTGAACCTGAAACTACAATTAACGAATAATTGACTTAATATGAACATGACAAAGGGTAATCCAATGTTCTCCAATTGTCTATTCTGTGTTTTACATCACGTAATTACTGTATTTATAGTCTTTGATCCACAGGTCAACTTACCTCAGAAACTAGTAGATATTCTAGTAGATGCAACAAAAACGGTAGATAAAGTTCAACGGTCTAAGTAAGCATTCAATACGCGACCTACTGATCTGTAGAATAATAAATATAAATACATTTTAGCATCGTAATTGGAAAGTTGTGTTTCTCGACAGCACAGATAGTGCTGAAAAATATATTCATTTCCGTTCGAAAAAGACAAGAGTTTGCTTGTACGAAACATGCATTGATTCCTGCCAAACTCGAGGCAGGAAAGGTAAGTTTTAATGACTGGTTAATATATAGCAATTTAGAATGGCGCATTTTTTTCCAGAACACGAGGCGTCTAAATATCGTTTAAAAATAATCAATTAGTTCGATTTAAATTAGTGAAACTTCACTGCTTCAATTTAATTTTTAAATAAACTATAGAATGCATTGTAACAACGTACTATCAACAGGTCAGTGACAGAATTTAAGAAATACATATTGAAAGAATTTTCGTTAAAAATTGCGACTATAGTTAAATCATGAAAAAGTAAATCGAAAACAAAAAATCGGAATTTGATATAAGACAAATACATTAAAATTAACAAATTTCAAATGAAAATACACATAAAATTCTATTTCACTAAACAAAATAATCTAATTAGCAAAATGATAATCTAATGTTACTAAGAGCAGTGCAAAAAAATTTCTTAGCCGTTAACAGCAATAAAAATATTTCTCAAAGCTGATGTACACGATTAGAGGAAAATTACAGAGAAAAGACACCAATGATTGTGCGCATCGTAATAAAGGAAACGAAAGGCCTGAATAAAAGGAAATGCAATAAAGGAAATAATAAGAATCTTAATTGCTTTGGAGCAAATATAAGAGCCAACCAAATGTAAACTTACAGGACCTAAATTCAATACCTAGACAATTGAGTAGAAAATTCATTGAAGCGACGACATAACATAACATAACATAGAGATGTCGGCGCTGAAGTGTAGGCCTGATGTGGCCTGTCGCCGATTCTTTTCCTTTTCGTGCCTTGTTCACAGATCTAAAATCGTGTCATTTGACCGGATCTTTTCATGACTGGCGATAGTTTGAAGTAGCTACTAGACTTCCACCGGGTTCGATAAGGAGCTAGGCATTTCAAATCTGAAATATAAAAACATTTTGCAATTTTTAGATTAAAATTTAATGATCGATGGAAATGTAACATTTTGAAAACAATGATTGCAAATTAACAATAAAATGATGTCCTAATACACTGTGGAGACAGCAGAATTGATTTTCAAAATGCTACCTATTCTCAAGCCAGCAAAAAATTGATTTAAACCATCAACGAAAATGGAAATATATTTCGTACAAATGAGCGAGAATAGAAATAATAAAGCAAACAAAGTCTAGAACTAAATTTTCAGGCGCTTGATTTAATTGCTATTGAGAAAAGAGATAGTCCACGTGCATGAAATCGCTGGTACATGTAAGGCTCAGAGAGAAGATTTAGAGTTTGGTGCCTTCAGCGCACGTTGGCTTAAGAATCTGATGCCACTGCGCGGATGTTTAATTAAAAATCTCATTTTGTCCGACATGAGAGTCCGTTGATAGACACAGCGATTACAAGAAGAGAGCGCTACCGTTGACGAGCGACACATCAGTAGCGCCACCCGTTACGTAAATGAGGCGATTGGGAAGAAATATAATACAAACATTAAAAGTTGAATACAATACAGACATTAAAAGTAAAATACAATACAGACAATAAAAGTGGAATACAACACAGACAATAAAAGTGGAATACAATAAAGACAATAAAAATGGAATCAAGCCAATCTGAACGAAACCGCGGTCCGTGCATCTATGCAAAAGCGACACGTACTTAACCCGGTATACGAAAATCCGTGACCTCACACCACTACTTCCGCTCAACTGACTTTTCATCAATTTGATGTATTCTAATGGATACACCAAGTGCACTAGGCGTATACAGTATGAGTACGCCTAGAGCACTATAATTATAGGCCTTGTGTATTGTATTTAACTTTAGTATATGGGGATGATATAGGAATGGCGTATTGTAATGATAGAAGCCTAGTATATTACAATGATACATGTCTAGAATATTGCAATGATATAAGCCTTATTTAGTGATCATTAGTCTGCTTGAATTACAAGTTCATCAAGAATTTAAAAACAATGAAAATGCAGATCAAATTGATTGTATCTTCATCGAACATGTTTCGGAAACTACCTCCATCATCAGTTCAAATTTTAGAGAATACAAGTAGAAGCAATAAAGGTGAGCCAAATTTAAACAAAAGGAATTGGAATGCAAATATTAAAAAAGAGCAAAAAACACGAAAACCTGTTGATTAACAATTACGAGTGTATAAAAACTGTAAGCGTTATTAATGCAAGATTTCCATTAAGATTTATTTTAGATTGAAGAAAATTTAACCTTGAAAATTCAAGATTTTAAAATCCTTGAATTTGAAGTTCCTGAGGTAGAACCAAGGATCTTAAAATCGCTTTACGACACAGTTACGTAGCACTGTTCCACGTGAAGACGCATAGCAAAAAGGGGTGGTTTAGCAAGAAGCAATTCGGGATAATATCTCCTGCTGTTCGACAACCCAGATGCAAAAGATTACGGGCAAAGAACCGACCAATCTTGGAAAACATAATGAGATTCAGCTTTGTAATCCTGATAAATTGCCAAATTGGCCTTCAACTATAAGTCTTACAATATAGAATTTCGAACCAAGCCTTCCTCGTGACTCCCGATTTTTAAAGACCTAGCTAAGAATAGATACTAGATTACTTGTAAACTTGTTGAAGGCCTTGGCGTAGTGTTAGTGTCCTTGTAAATTCATAGAAATGAAAAATTAAAGATCTGATTAACAACTTCGTAAACTTGAAATCTCTGTCTTGTTCCTTATAATGATACATGCTTACTGTATTCAAAAGAAATTGTTCAAGCGCACCATAACGAAAATATAATCGGATTGTATCATAACGGTATAAGCTTAGGATGTCATAACGATATAAACCTAGCTTATGATAACGATAGATGACTAGATGATCATAACGATATATACCTAGATCATCATACGGATATAAACCTAGCTTATCATGACGATATAAGCTATAATGTATCATAAAGTTATAGGCCGAGATCATCACAATGACATGAGCCTAGTTCATCAGAATGATGTGGGCCGATTGAACCATACGGATATATCCATTGTGTATTTAGGGTGATTAAGATCGCATTAAATTATTCACTGTTAATCATCAGAAGCTCAGGCCTGCACAGATAAGGTACGCCATCCCTTACTGATCTTGGTTTTCCTCTAACATGCCATAAGAAATGCGCAATTTCGCTCCCCTTAGCTTTCCATGAAAGGTTTGTGATTGTTTTATTACAATCGATATACATTTCCTTGCCAAAATGTGCTTGAAACTCGAAACTTAATTCAAATGATAATTTAATATCATATTTTCGACATTTGATTCCGCTATCACAATTGTAAATTCGTGCAATTAATTGAGGTGGAGATTACGGGCGAAGAAGATAATTAGTGAGCTATTATACTCCGACAATAGTGAGCAATTATATGTACCCTTCTACCTAGATAACGACATTTAAATTCAGACCGTATTGGTGAAGTCATTAAGCGTGACAATAAAAGCTAGTAAATTATTGGGAAAGCTGTTTAAATGACAAAAAACAGTTGAATTTTAACATTGAAATCAAAAGGCCAGTAGCCTACCAATAGGCTCTGAACAATTTCTGAGCAAATTATTCGTAATAGTTACGCGAAGTAAATACTTGCTCAAGTCAAGTTCAAAGTTAGATTCAGTCATGTTCACCTAAATGATGCACTAATTGAACGTCTGGAATAATAAGGACATTGTGAAATGGAATAAGCACGGAGCTAGGTGAGCAGTTCAAGTAGACAAGGTTGCAGCGTATCGCGAACGTATTCTACGTATCCTAATTCAGGGAGGTATACTGTTCCGTTTAGTACGGAAATTTCAAAACTCACATACAGGGTCATAAATATTTAGCGTTACATTGTTTTTTTCTTCAAAATCAATACACTCGCGAAACAGTCAAATGTGTCGTATGGAACCATGTCGACTGTTCTCCGGAAGGACCTAAAGTTGTCCCCATTCACGCATGTCAAAAAACACCGCAACTGTCTGCTCAAGTTGTTGACAAACGCCTCCAAAGATCCAAGATTCTTCTTTCCCGCATTCATGATGACACGTTGCCAAACCTCATTTTCAGTGATGAGAAGTTATTCAATGTTGAACACCAGTTCAACTCCCAAAATGATCGGATTTGGTCGAAGAATGGGATGAAGGATCCCGTGTGGTGACCAGGAAGCAATGCCCGACCTCAGTGATAGTCTGAGCAGCCGTAACAGAGTCCTCAAGGAGTCCCCTCTTTTTTGTTGACAAAGGGGTGAAATTGAATCAGAAGAACTATCGAGATGCCATCCTTGTTGGTGCATTGTTGCCCTGGGTACGAAAGCACTTAAAAAACGCCCCTGGTTGTTCCAGCAGGATTCTGCACCATCCCATGGGGCCAAATCGACTCGGGAGTGGCTGTCCGAGAATGTTCCCCACTTCATTACCAATTAAAGATGAATGGCCCCCATCGTCACCCGATCTGAATCCTCTAGATTTTGGGATCTGGTCATACCTTGAGAGCAAGGTCTCGACCGTTCACCATAGCAGTTTGGACGCCCTAGAGGTCAAACTTCTGAAGGAGTGGGCCAAAATCCCGCCGAGTGTCATTCGTGACTCTTGTAAGGCTTTCTCTAAGCGTTTACAACTCCTTATTGAAGCAGATGGTGGACATATTGAATGAAATTGCGGGGATTGTATCTCTGAACCTCTGCCTACATAAATAGATTTTCAAACATTCACAATTGTGTTTCATTTCATAGTTCTAACCAATCAAAGTTGTAACGCTAAATATTGATGACCCTGTAGAATTCGTTTTATGTCCACTGTTCACTTTTTTCAGCGTGCCTAACCATAAGAATTATTTTATTTCGTGGTACCGATTTTGGTTAGTATCCTAACCCCACCCTTAAATAGTTTCGCTCCGCAGAAATACATTTCGTCTTTTAATTTTCGAATTCGAATATCGAGATGTATAGATAAAACCTGAATTGCCGCTTAATTCGAACGTGATTTTCAATTATGCACTTCAAGAATTCGATGTTCGATATGTTCACGTACGAGTGATACAAGGGATACCGATATACTTATACGATACAAGGGATCTAAGAGAGGGGGAGTTCACCCTGGAGACCTTCAAGAGACAACTAGACGTGTTCCTGAGCACAATCCCAGATCGACCTCCCCTGCAACACTACCAGCGGCGAGAAGCAAGCAACAGCATCGTCCATCAGGTGGCCCAAATGAGGGCGGATGAACGATAATCAGAGGCGATAATGATGAAATTTTGTTAATGGATTCAAACCATCGGCTGTATCACAGATAGAAACAGGCAAGTTGTTGAAATCTAATGTTGATTGTGCCAAGTGTCCATGGAAGTGATGGTCATATCATTGCGATAAAGCTTTGGCTGAGTTAAAATCGAAGCGCAGCTTCAACTATGAGTAATTTGTAGACTCACGTTTGATGAAATTTATCAATTCAACAGCAAGAGAGTTCGTTACGATAGCCTAATGACAATTCAGGTAGGAATAACATTGTGCCTGTGCGAAGGGGAGGGTTAGATGGTGGACAAAAAATGTGTGTATCAGGTAAGAATTGTTGATTGAACAAAAAAAATTATGCGGGCGCAGAATTGGTTTTCGCTAGTTAAGCCAAATTAAGTAGCAAGTTGTTAGCAGTTTATAGTCACCGATCGACAGTTCGTAAGTCGTTTCCGCAGGGTTTATCAATGACCATTGAGGGGTGTTCGGATGACGGCGAAAGCGCGCCTATACATGTGCTACTGGAGAGACATCCTGTACTCTCGTTCTACATTGCTGAAACTATGCAAACATCCGTTCGACTTTCTCTCGAGGAGTAATTTTCAGAGTCCATTGTTAGTATGAAGCGTTCCGAGGGACGATTTTGGACTTTCTTTTTCATTTTTGAGAACAGGTTCAGTGCTTGAAATGAAATGGACATCATTTAAAAAAAAGAGCTTTCGCAAAGTATTTAGTACCTTATTTAGCACGTCTCTGGAATTAAAGTCTATCATATTGATGTTTTGAAGTATAAATCTAGATTGAATGTGTGCTGAATTTGTAAATTGAAATTTGGTAGTAAGTGCAATAATAGTTCCGAAGGAATTTAGAATGAACATTTCTTTTGTTGAATACGGTTCATCCAAGTTCACCATGCCAGAAATGATACGTATATAGTGAACCTGATATGGAAATGAACTCGGAAGTCGGAAGTGGCAGCAAGTGAATAACTGAATCGAAAACGATCTTTCCCACATGAGAGTTTGAAGAGAAAACTCAACTGCACAGTTTCCTCTGAACACACACGAGCAATGAGTGCATGGCTGGTAGACAGAGCGTGCTGGTCTGTCCTTTAGATCCTACATTTAACCGGGCCAATGCCTCCACCATGACTGTGCACTTTCAAGCAAACATTTAGTTTTCTTGCATTGACGTCCTGCTTTTCTAAAGACACTGTTGGTTGCAAGAGAACGGTACAGAGTACAAAATTAAGTAATATTGTTTTTTGTACACACTAAACATGATTCAAGTAAATTGGGACACTAATGTTTTCCGACTAACTTAACTTTTACACAGGGGTAGCGTGATGCAACAATTGCTGCTTGATTTAATTTTTTTCACGAGTAATGGAAACAATTTAACACAATCGTGACAGCAACCTCTGTGAAAATAGAAAGAGAATTATGAACATAAGAGTAGTTTGTGATGCATTATTCATTCATGTAGGTACCTACTGATGAGTCTTGTTTGAAAAATAAAAATAAAAATTAATTCCGTAATCTTGAACTACGAGTCCTTCGTTTATAAATTCCATTTAAGGTTGAATTAGTCTGATGGATTTTATTGAATAAGAATAACCCAATATTTTGATGAAGCCAGAATTTCTTTAACCACTCAGGCGCGTTGTTGCGGTCTATAAAGCCAAGTAGTGTTGGAAGCTAGACGACAGTTTGCCATTAGCTTGCATACGGATTGCACGGCAGGTGAACTGTGGCCAGACCAGTCACGCGCGGTGGTCTTCGTAACTCAGATGTCCATGATCAATTCAGATATTTTAAATGCATGAATCTACCTCTGAATACACAGAAATAAATAATTGACACATTTTTATTTGACATTAATGTGGATATTTCAGCATAGTTGTGAGAATTAATTGACAATAAAATTGATTTTCAATTTGATATCAAGAGTTTATATAAAAACTTTTATGTTGCATAACCGTAATTCTATATATGCCATGCCATGGAAGTGAAAAGTCCTATGTTTGTGAAAACTTCCTGAAGATTCTTGGGCAAAGTTTCACAAGAAAAATTAATTTTATTGTTTTGAAGACTTTTTAAATGTCTGATATTATCTCATTTGCAGTGATTCTTTTCAAGTTCATCTCGGTCGCCCATGATAGCTGCATCACCACAAGCAACACGCAAGGAATTTGTTACTCGGCCACCGACTGCACAAACTTGCAGGGCACCGCAAGCGGCACCTGCGCGGCAGGACTGGGAGTTTGTTGCACGTGTGAGTGACAAATTATGTGAAATTAGAGGTTTCAACAACAGAATAATTTTTTTTGTAAGGGAGGCATTTGGAAAGGGGTGACATCTTGAAATTGGCAAAAATTTCATTAGTCAGTTATAAGTTTTGAATTTTTTAAATGAATTCCCGTAGTATAATTGACGTGGTGAGCAGAGGTTTCAATGATTTTTCTTAGTTACAATTTTTAGAACCATGGCTTATTACAATTTCTGAAAATGGTGGATCGTAGAATGAAAATTGTAGGGATGTTCAGACCACTTAAATGGCAATTACAAGCTCTAGGAATAGGCTATCGCAGCACTAGTCATTTAGTCAAACAACGATGGCACTTCAAAATAGCATTCTTTTCTCCTCAATTTGTCTTGCAGTTACGCGCAATTGCGAATCGTCAACGAACATCAACGGAACACTCTTCCAGAATCCAGAATACCCTTCAGTGACAACCGCTGCTCTTGCTGCCTGTAGGCTCAAAGTTAGTCCCGTCAACAACAACATCTGCCAAATACGTCTGGACTTGACTGACTTCTCCATCGGCCAGCCCAATGCAGAGGGGGTTTGCGTCACTGACTTTCTGCAAGTGACCGGAGGAGCGACGAACATCCCTTTGATTTGTGGTGAAAATGCTGGACAGCATCGTAAGTTAGATGTTGCTTCCGTCGCTCAGTTATTATATAGAAATTTTGCAACGCTGTATAAAATATTTGAGGTATAAAGCAATTAGTTTGTATCTAAAATGTTTTAACACAAGTGTAAATCAAAAATTTGTAGAGGATAGTTTGAAATTATGCTTGCGCACCGTTCGCACGGCTGGCTAACTATATGATTACACATGAAAGATTTTGTAACCCTGATTGTCCATTATCTATTTTTATATTTTAAAAGCCTGCATCAACGTCTTGTAAATCGTCAGAATTGAACCATGGATTTATTTTAACTGCAGTGTACCTGGATGTGAGCCCCGACTTTGGGAGCATCACGATCAATGTTGACACCTCAACGGTCGGAGCCAAGTGGAACATCTCCGTTACTCAAATATCGTGCAACTCCCCCTACCGAGGTGGGTACATGTCATGAGTAACATGAGTAACGTATGAAAAATGCTGTCCAGCTTTACTGGTTGAAAATATTTCATTGCTGATTGTATTGTTCTATTTATATATAAGTTACGACCCGACGATTTGATCATTCGATCAGGTGAAAATATCACAAACCCATAAACTGTTTCTGCCGCCCACCTCTTTGAAAGTTCCCAATTATTATACACGAGGTGTTTTCTATAGGTCCATGATAAATTGAAAAAATCTTGCTAATGTTTTTCTCAATATAATGCACAGTTGTATTCATGAATTCTTAATCATTGGGATTCTATTCCACACGATAGCTCCGTCGGGATGCCTTCAGTATTTCACGAGCACATTTGGGACCATCAAAAGCTTCAACTACGACGCAAAAACAACCTCAACCACCACCGCCCCCACGGGTAATATAAATATCCTCCAGTTCCTCCAACCGATCCATTGATTGACTAGTGGCTAATTAATGGCAGCCTGGACATATGTGGTGGTCTTCGAGTTCAGTTGTGATTAAATGAAATTCGTTAGCAGGCATTATTAGAATTTTCGAAACTTCTGTGCGTTTTTTTGTTTGTTTATTAATAATGTGGTGAAGTGTCACGTCATCCATAAAACTTGTGAATCTTTCCACTGAAGTAAACCTTTCTATTTCTTAAATTTACTTTTCATGAAGTTCACTGCAAAATGCAATTAAATGGACGGGACACAAGACACCACGTTATGAAATAATCCGCAAATAATAATCTTACATGCTTATTAGCAACGAAACTAAATAAAGAATATTCAGTACCTTACTAAAACCTAAAAAGATCAAACTCAATTAATTATCTCTCATATACCATATTTAACTCGACAACAGCTACCACTCAACTGGCCAACCAGGAATACGGCGCTTGCATCAAGTCACAGACGGGTTTCTGCAGCGTTGTTTACAGCAAAACTTCTGGCGTCAGCGCCGACTACAGCTTCTCCATGACTGATGATCCAGGCTCTTATGCTCCCGGTGAGTAACTCGCGCATTCAGTTAATACACCCTACGCATTCAGGGATGCACTTGCGAAACTCATAGCCCGAACCCAGAGTGAATAAATTTATGCATCATGCTCTATCCATTTGTGCATGGTCCATTGTGGTCTGGGACTGCTACTGAAATAAATACTAAGGATACTAAGGGCAACGTGTCGGTTTGCAATGTCATTCATACCTAAGGGTTTGGTTCACAAGAGTTTATTTAACTATACAGTGGGTTAGATAATAATTTTTTGGCAACGACGGAAGTTTCATTTGCTTCTACATGGATTTTGAATGACTTTTAAGACCATAAAAAATTTAACTTTGTAGACCTCTGTAATAATATCTGATTTTAATATATATCAGTGACTTGGTCCTCCCTGTGTAGGAACTGTCATACCCGGAATGGTGAAGAGCTCAAACTGTTCAACGGATTACTTGGTAATCCCGAGCGGTATTATAGCCGACACAAACTTAATATATTCTAACATCACTGCTGCTGATCGCTACTGCGGGGCCAATTTCGCTGCCTCCCCAGACACAATTGCATGTGAGCTGGATATTAATCGTTTTTAAAGTGTAGAGACCACTAATATATCATTTAAAAGGAATTAGGACAGATTTTTTTGAAGAGGATATATTTACCTGTACATGGATCTTAAATTATTATTAATAAAAAAAGTAATAATAATTATAATAATAATAAAATAAGAACAATAATAATAGTAGTAATGATTATTCAAATTCTAATAATATTCGGAATGAATATTGAAAAACAATGAAAGATACTTGACAATATACCACCAGAAATCGGAAGTTTAATTTAATATAGCCTAACTTTAATATAGCCTAACTAAATATAGCCCACATTTATGTAAATGGTAGTTAAGTAAGTAGGAAATGGGAAGCGCTGGTGGTACTGGTTCGCTTTTTGCTAATTTCAAAATATCTTCTAAATAAAAAAATATCAAAATATCTTCTGAGTCTATTCTTCCTCATTCAAGATTTTATTTTATTATATATCTATCGTGTAACAAGTATTTTATATTACATTGTATTAGAGAAAAAGCTTTAAAATATATGTTTCATTTTAAAGAGCAGCTTCACATCAAAAATAATCCGCCGGTTTAAATAATTTCTCACGGTAGGGTTTGTATAATTTGTTTATTTAGTTTTCGTTTGTGACAATTAGAAAGTATCATTAATTTAAGTATATCAAGTAGTTTAAAAGAATTTTTTTTCGAAGAATTTGATTGAATTTCTGTAATCTCAACAGCCAAGGTGCAGCCGTTCGTCCTGTACGTGGTCACTGATGGTACAGAGGTCGGCATCGACGGCTACAACGTGGGCTTCTCCATCGACTACAGAATGCAAGCTTGCTGATCGCAGAGCGGCAATTTTTATTTAATTTTTAATGATGTTATTTAGCTATGTTATTTTATGTTAAGATGCTTGTGATGCGCAATAAGCTATCACTTATAAGCACTGGTTCATATCTAAGATATTTTATGATTGTTGTGAATAGCGTCCCAAGTGCCCCAAAATCAGAAGAGACGACATACGTAAATATGACATCGTTGTTATTTATTAAACTAAATCTAATGAGAAGAATATGATCTGAATGTTATTTGGCATCGGATTATCATTTACTCTTTTATGCATGGCATTTTGTAATATTTTTCTGAATTTTCCAAGAATGGTATTTAAATTCTTGCTTCAAGAGAGAAATGAGGTTAAGAGATGACTCGATTTTTAAGCCATACGAAATAATTTTATACGTGCTCAAAAGCCTACACTCAAGAATTGGTGAAGTTATAGGATTATAAATCTTAATATGCGAGTCCATAAAGACAACTAGGAAGCAGAACTATAAATACATTCATGAAAACAAACAGTTTTGATTATTTGCACGGAAAATTTTAAGATATACGGCAATTATCGACATTTGTCCTCGTTTTGTTTCAGTTTATGTTTCAGTACTCGCATCACTGGAATAGTTTTAACTTAACGAGCTTCGACCAATAAACAGAAAACTCTTATAGTGAGAGCAGTTCAAACTTATTACACTTACACATTTCATCATACAATAAAAGTTGTAACTTTCAATTCACATAGCAAAAGAATTTACTTTGAAATTTGGTTTCTACAATAAAACAAACAAATCAGAACAGAATAATTTTTCATAGCCGTGTGAACTGGTTTTGAGAAAATGCAGGTAGTATACGATGCATTCAGATTCAGAAGGTTGCCAATAAATATTCATATATACAGCTTTAAATCATGCATTCTAATAACTATATATAACTAAATAACCCCATAGCACTCAGCTTTTGTTTATGCATTTTCCTGGTTAGAGAGCAAATAATAACAAAATTTCCGAAAGTTTTTTGCTGTTTGTTCTGAGAAAATTACCAGCTGTCAGCGATGTACGAAGGCCACCAGCACAGAACTTCAAGATAATAATCTATTGATTAAGGAAATTATTGTGAAGGAACACATGACTTCACATGGTCTACTTCGTGGTAAACAGGTTCTGTCGTTCAAGGGTCGGCCTTGAGTTAAGAATTATAAGGGTCAACCTATACGAATTTCGCGGAAAAATTGTAGATGAACAAAATATTGCAAAAATTAGGGTCGCTTTAATGGTAAATTAGGATGAATTCGCATATACTAAGTTTAAATGCAGTTGTATAATTAAAAAATTAGAAGATAGTAGAAGTTATTCCAATTGAGTTGCATACAATTTCTTACAGTTACAGCTACATAAATTTATGAAAACAACAGATAGTTTGACTTAATAATCAGATAGAGAGTTCATGAAAAATTAAATTTACAAAACATCGCCTTATGAGATTAAGTAAAACAAAATCAAGGCAAGAATGTGTTGTAGAATATGATCGAAGAAATATATCATAATCTTTTCGCGTGAACTGCACGCCAAAATAAGTATATGCAAGCAGATGTAGATGTTTACGAAACTATTGAGACTGATAATGGATAGATGTACTATTTTCCGCGCTTAGCCATGCAAAATAGGCATTCATAATTATCGGGATAACAGAGTTCCAATTTTGTTTTCTACTTTTCTTTCAATATGTACATGTTGAAATAATCGTTGCTAAGGCTGAACCGCTACAATGTCTGTATTTTGTTTTTAAAGATCCAAAAATATGACTTGTGGAATGCGCCCACCCTGGAACGAGCATGAATTTTCCACATACATTTGCATGATTAAATTGATGCAAATTACTAGACCGTTTTGTAATGTAAAGGTTTTTCATTTCATTTTACGTAATATTTCGAAAAACATTGTGACTAAATTTCACTGAAGCGTTCATTGGTCGGGGGCTTGGAGTACATAGCTTGACTCACAAAACGACCGAGACAGATGATAGAAAATAAATTAATGACTCTGATAACAGTTTCCATATTTCTTTGATTTATTCACTTTATTCACATAAAAGTGAAGTTTTTACTGGTAATTTGTCAGTGTTTGTGACAACGCTTCAACATTATAAAGGTAGAACAAATAAAGCTGTTTTGGATAAATTTGAATACATTTCCATAAAATATGGATATCGTAGTTATTTCCTCATTTGACGACCCGATAAAAATATCCCAGCAAATTCAACTTTTCACCACAAGCGATGAGCTCCCCCAATTGCACGTGTACACTTATTATTTCAAGGGAATATTTAACGAAACAAAATAAAGAATTGTTTTCTGGAATTGCGTTGCATTGATGTTGGGAAAACCACCATCTGCCTTTGATAAAACGACCTCCAACAGGGGTCGCATCGTGAGACATGAAGCCAGTTGGTGTAAGTGGGCCTTACAAAGTGAAGGCAGCTGGCTTTCTATTGTATATTTAAGGGTAGAATAGTTTACATTATTCAGACTTTAAGCACAGTGGTGCAAGCATTGGGAGCGAGACGTAAAAATTGGTTAACACGTTGACTCAGATTGTTTTATCCTGTACTATTATTTCATTTTTTGTAATATTTTGAAACGAGGTTGCCCGGACAAATTGTTTTTTTCCGGACAAATTCCGCGATTTAATTTTTTTAATTGCGTTTTTTGGCTAAGAGTTATGATAGAGGTACTTTATAATTAAATTTTAAAACTACAACAACAAAAATGGATTTTTCACCGGAACCTACAAATTTACTTGTATATATTGAGTTATAAGCCTTTCTTGTTCTTGGACTTGGCCGTTTTTCAGGCCATTTGGCAACCCTGAATTATGTACCACTACGTCCTGGAGAATCACATTTCATGATACGTATATGTACCACTTCAGAGTCAATGTGTTTAGGCTATTTCTGCTCTGCTCTACAATATGACAATAGAAATTATAAAATTAGTTCAGACATACGAATACCTCTGTTCGTGGACGCGTGTAATGCAAAAGAAATATCAATAAATTATACTAAAAAACATTCGCATCCACGACCCATCTCAGTGTGCAGTTGAAGGGCACACAATTTTGTGAAACAAAAAGTGCTTAGTTAATATAGGAAACGCACGGAAAATTATGATGGGATCTATCGATTAAATTTTAACGATAATATTTCAGGAACTCAAAAAAATTAGCTGGGGTGGAAAATCAGGGTTTAATAGGTGATGTTTTAACTGCAATTTTTTATTCCTGCTCACTACTGCAGAATGGACACAGTGAAGCATTAGAATTGCAAATCAATAGCTACGTACAACACAATGAAAGAAATAAGTAACACACTTAGCAGAATTACCTCGATAAAATATAGGCAAAAAACGCGTAAAAATTTATGCCAGATGAGAATTTCTATTGACGTTAAAAGGCTGTCCTCATACTTCTCATTCAAATAACCCGGCATCTTCAACAGAACCACAAGATGATAGCCTCACGTGAACTGCTCGCTGCTTGCGCGGTGCTGTGGACAAGCTTGGCTCTGACCTCAAGCTCTGCTATTGCCCCAGCCATGGAAAGTCAGCATGAACAGCTAGCGGAACCCAAATCAAAATGTGAATTGATAATTAATTGAAGTTTATGCCTGGAAGTCAAATTATTTATAAATATGAGCAGATATTTCCCCATCTCAGTGTGAGCCAATGCGTACTACAATGGGTACTACATGGGTAGTACCCAATGGGTACTACATCGAAATGTAGTACCCATTTTTGCATTGTATTTTGTACCTCTGACATATTATGAAGTTGTATTTCAAGGAAGCCAGGAAGTTGACTCGGAGTAACACTTTATGTACGAACTTTAACAAATGGTAAACATTTTAAAATTGTTATTAAAAATTCCAGTTGCTCAAATAATATTACAAAATTTTTTGGATATCTGCCATGAGTAGTAGAACTTTAACTCATCATACAATTTTTTAAGTATCAT